TTGGTCTATTTTTCTATTGATTGAGGGTAAGACGGCGGGTTCAAGTCTCATCGTACCTTGAGGGTAAGACACTGGTTTTAAGTCCTAGTGCACCATGATAATAAGTAGTTGGGTTTGAGACCCAATGCATTATGTCCTAACATGCATTTATATGGATAAGACATTGGGTTTGAGTCCCAATGCACCATATTGATGATATAATGATGACTAAAGAAAAATAATATATTTTTCATGAAAAAGCATAAAGTTTGTCCCACTTGATTTGCTCCATTCTTGAAGTGAAGGTGAAAACGGTGCATAATAAGTCTAAATAAAGACAAGTGGTTGACCAATGAACGTGGGCGCGCCAAAGATCAAATAATAACAGTCATCATTATGGTAATTGTAAAAAGGAGAACGATAAGGGTTCTCAAAATGGTCCTTCGAAGGTGAAGGAATATGTATCAATGTGGTCTGTTAATACGAGACACGTTCATATGATTATAGTCCATTCGTTGAAAATGTGACTTGTGATAAGCATTGTAAATGCAGGCTCATTCCTGAAAGTAAATGCTGAAATATATATGTGATAAAAATTATGCAGAAGAGTGTGCTTATGCACGGTTGGATAAATACCACAACTCACCTCTAAGGGAGGTTTGAGAGAAATAAAGATAATGAATATTACAATATGGTTACATGAATATGTCATTGGTCGCGTACACGTGGTACGCCAAAAATATTTTACCATGCCTTATAAAAAGTTATTAAAGGCAAAAGTAAAGCAAGAAATGAGTCTTGTCTATAATGTTTTTGATTCTGACAATGATAAGATAATTTTTTCCGTGGAGGAAAAATTCACCACTTGGATGGTGGTATAAAAGATCTTGTAGTACAAAATTATTGAGAGCTCCGAAAGAGCGAATTTGTTACTACCGGAATAAATAAAATTATTCATGGCATTGGTGGTAGTAAGTCTCAAAAAGGAACTTTTTGAGTTTCAAATATATTAGCCAAAGTGGTTGGCATATTGAGACTACAAATGAAAGGAAGATTGAATATCTTCATATTACTATATTCATACCGGGTAAATATGAAAGGTTACCATTTTTCTTCTATTTGTACTATAGATGTATAAGCATCGTGATGGAATCACATGCCATAAGTAAACTAGAGGTTTATTGAAACAAATATTAGTTGGCATGACCGGTTGACCATCCCGGTTCAATTATGATGTGAAAATTGATTGAGAATTCACATTGGCATATATTAAAGAAATAGAAGATTCTTTAAGAATTCTCTTGTGATGTTTTTTTTCTCATGATATACCAGTTAAGGTTGGGATTGAATCCCTTGATATCTGGAACGAATAAAAGGTGATATATATATATGGGCCCAATCACCTGCCAGGATCTTTTACTATTATATGATTTTAATAGATGCATCTATTGTATCACATGTGCGTTTGTTATCAACTTGCACTTTGGTTTTTGCAAGGTTGTTTGCTCAAATTATTAGAGCACAGTTCCAGAATATATATTATGATAATTTATCTTGATAATGCTGGTTTGAATCCAAGTTGGTTTAGCAGAAATTGTATGTCTCCAATTATAGCTAAACCATTGGTTATGAGAACAAAACTCCAAATAGAAATTTTGTATTAAGTATATTATTTAATATACAACGATACTTGTACGCATCTAGCCAACAAGTTATGATAAATTCTCCCCATCACAATTGGTTCAGGGTCAGGAACCAAATATTTTCATCTAGAAATATGGATGTACTATATGATTTAATTGTGCCACCACAATGCACAAAGATTGGTCTCAATGAAGGTTGGGTATATGTGTTGGTGATCCCAACATTAGGGGGAGAAAATGAGCAGCTGAAAAAAAAGTAATACATGGAATGAATTATTATGAGTATATCTAGATCCTCGTACAAGAAAATATGAACTTGAAGTTCAAGTGATAATTCATTTGCAAATTATTTCCATGCGCATTTGCTGACCCAAACTAAATGCCATATTTCAGCTACTAATGCTCCAAATAGAATAAAGTCCATGATGGACATAGTCTATGGAACTCTTGAAGCGTAATAGACTAATCGGTTCCAAAGATAAAACTCCTTGAAGAAGGAGAGGAGCAAATGTTCAAGATGGTCATAATAAGGAGGCAAGTGCTTTATAAGAGCACCATGACATAACATTTTATAAGACCTCATGGGAGAGGCTCAGGTACCTGAAAATAATGAGATCTCGATAAGTTATGTCTTTATTATGCGATGATGGAACCGATGTAAAATGATCGTCGACGATGTTGTTAATATAATGTAGCGCTCAATATTATTAATATTGACGAGGATCTTGAGCTCAAATCTGTCATGGAATTTGAACAGATAAATGATTGGCCAAATGAAAAATATGCAATGAAATTGACTTCACCTGAAAAATGTGAAGTTGGACGGATAGTCCCCACACCTGAAAGTGAAATGAAAAATCAAGTCGATAGACATAAAGACGACTTGTGGCACAAAATTTTCGTAAATATCCTGGTATTAGGAGACATGTTCTCCTGTGGGGGGGTCTGACAATACATTTGATATGCATATAATGAAAGTCCTTGAATGATTTAAATTGTTCTGAAGCATATTAAGGTTCCCAAGAAATTTATTAAATAAATTTTCGGCAGATCCTTATGTAGATTAGAGCGATCATGGCGTACATGATTTATTTTTGTGTCTAGTGCAATTGGTGCACTAATATATCTGGCTAGAACCATGAGTATAACAATATGCTAGCAAGATATAGTTTTATTTCAATGTGGAGATATTGGAATACAATTAGTATTATATTTCAAAAGGAATACTTGATATCGCCAAGATTTTGTTGGTTATGCAAATGCAGGCATTTTCTGAAGTTCGTTCTTCAAACATTCTATTTGCATGTGAGAGTACTGCCATATTATCATATTACAAGGCAGTTAATTGTTGATACTTATTTAAGTAATGCCAAGATAAGCAACTGATAAATCAAGGGGCTGAACACACAACAGACGTGTGACTTGACTTTGAAGAGAAGATTCCAATAATACTGAATATAATGTTGTTTGCTTATATCAATTGAAAGAAGGACTATCCAAGGAGACAAAATAAAGCACATTCACCAAAGTTCTTCAACAAATTTGTTCAAGTGATAATTTGACAAACTTCTTCACAAGACATTGCGGGTCTCAATATTAGAGAAGTTATTATACAAGCTTGGAATTTGTCGTCTCCGAAGAATAAAGTGATGTTTTCATCAGGGGGAGGCAATACGCGCTGTACTCTTTTTTCCTTAGCTAAGATTTTATCCCACTGGGTTTTTCTGGCAAGGTTTTTAATGAGGCAGCAAATAATGCGCATTACAAGATATGTGTACTCTTTTTCCTTCACTAAGATTTTTTCCCACAGAGTTTTTTCTTAGTAAGGTTTTAACGAGGCACATTATCTATAGATATCCAAGGGGGAGTGTTATGAAATATTATTTTGTAGTGGATGTCTATAACTCCTAAAGAAGTTACTCCCACTACTCTTCTCCATTATGTAGATAACTCCCACTACTTCTCACCATTATAGTTGCAACTCCCACACCTCCATAACCTCCCCATGATCTTCCTCCATGATCTCAAATGTTTAATGTCATGTTTATGGCATTCTTTTGTATGCCTCTATGTAATCCTATAAATAGAGGGTTTTGGCATCATATTGTATACACTTGAATACATAGAAGAAATAAGATTCTCTCCTCTCTTCCTCTCTACATTGTTGTCTATTTTATTGTTCTATATTGTTACTTTGAGCTAAGTTTCGTAACAATTTGACAATTAACCTAAATACCATCTACCCAATTATTTAAATTTAAAATAGCCGGTAAACGTACAAAGACCACTTTTAATATGCGGTCGAAATTATTTATCCGATTGTTGCAAGGTCAATTTCATTTGATAACATGAACTAAAGCTTTTTTTTTCCTTGAAGTTCTTAATAGGACAAGCAACATTATTTTAATGGACATTCGCTATCACCAAAAATAATAGTGATAAGTATCATTTCATCTTTAATAGAGGTTATGAATTCTAACTACGAGAATAGAATCGCCTTTTGCAAGAAGCATTGTAAGTAGACTTTTGATGTGACTGTGAATTAGTCGGGCTTCAAATTGAGTGCCAACGGGAAACCAAAAAAAAATGAAACATGTGCCCGCATATGAGAAGGCGGCAAGATTTTGTCGATCTATAACAAGAAATAATTCGTCATAATAAATAGTACATTATGATATAGTACTCAAAAATATAAAATAATAACTTGCAATAATAGGTTAATTTGTTTTTACTATTATTATATAAATTTTAAATCCTTAAATATTGTACGAGTTCTTTTTAATTTCTGCAGGAGGTGGCAAATCCAACAATTAAGGACCCGTTTGTCCATAAAAAAAAACTTCCTTTTTTTCGAATTTTTTTTTTTCAAAAATATTTTTGTCCATAATAATTTGCAAGTCTTTGAAAAAATAAAATAATTTCCGCTCACAAAACTATAATATTTTTTCTAGTGAAATGCATGTTCAAATACAATTCCAAATATCATTTTTTAACTTTAACTCCAAATAATATTTTTTTTCAAAAATTACAATTTTTATGTCCAAACGCCTACTAAGTCGTTATCGAAAGAACTTTGTAAATGTCCATGTATTTTTAACTCAGCAGGGCCTGCAACAAACAAACTGGTGCCAAATGTAAGAAAACATTCTTAACAAATGTTAATTTCCTCTTCTTATCATTCTCTATTTGGACCATTTCCAATATATATCTGCCGGCCTAATAGCAACATTTTCACCATTTTACTATGAAACAATATATGTTAGCCTCATCTCCTTAGTTAGTCCTTAGCTTATCTTGTCTTTAATTCAAGATTAATACCATAAGAAATAAGCAATAAGAACTTGAGAAAAGAGTAGTACATACTTAGAATCAAGAAACATGAATAGAGATGAAGATCTTCTTCTGTTTAGAGACATGTATAAGCGTGAAAAGAATGATCTTGCTAGCTTTCTTCTTCCTGTCTCTGATGAATTAGAGTCAAATGGTATGAATTTTAAGCTTTTTTTTTTCTTCATAATTTTTTCGCTGCGTATTTTTCTGTTGTTACTGTTTGTTGCTACTTTTTTTTTTTTTCCTTCTCTTTTCTTCTTCGGCTTCCTTTCTCTGTTTCGTCTTTTCTTGAGTCGAGGGTCTACCAGAAAGAACTTCTCCATCTTTAGCAGGTAGAGGTAAGCAGGGGCAAAGATACAAAGTCCTAAGGGTGATCAACTGACCGGCCTTCATCGAAAAATTACACTGTATATATAAATAAATATTAAATTTTAATGGTATAATAGCATATATTGAACACCCTTTATCGGGATTTTTTTTTTACTTATTTCAAGCTTGAACACCCTAAATGAAATTGCTGACTTCTCCATTGGGGATAAGGGATTAGCTAGACGGAGTTTCTTGTTGTTGTTGTTGTTGTTGTCGTGATTGAGAGTTGTGGAACTTGCAGGGAATTATGCACTATACAGAATGGCTTCTAGCAAGAAAGGTCAAGTAGGGTTGGATAACTTGATGACTGAATCTGGAAAGAGTGACTATGATTGGTAAGTTAATTTACTTTGATCATATTATTGATTTATTGTCACACTTAAGTAATTAGTGCACGCTTAGGTTATTAAATGTGTGTCTTAAGGGGTGCACGTAAACTTTAAAAGACAGATATTATGGATCAGAGGTAGTATTGTTCTTTCGTACTTATAGCTTTTAATTTCGATTGAAGGTTGAAAACGCCGCCGGCTACGCCTTTATTTCCATCTCTTGACATGGAATCCAATGCTCCAGAACTAGTCATTCAGAAGGAGATCCCAATTATTCAATCAGTTACTCTTTCAAGGGTGTGTATTTTCCCTTCTCTTTATATACTAGACGAGGAAAGGTCCGTATACGGGCCCAACATTGTAATCTTAAAATTATTGTATATCGGTGCTCAATTAATTTTTTGATAAATAAATCGACCATTGTTATATCCATTTAATAACTGTAGATTGGGGATCACAATACAAATTAATTTATTTTAATAATTTACAAAAATTAAACTATAAATTATAACCTACTTAAGTTGCTCCAATTATTAACATAAAAAGACTATATGCTATAGTACTCATTTTAACATCAATGTCAAATATAAACATCACATTGTAAAATTGATTGAATGGTATTATTTCCCCACTATATTTGAATTTTTAACAAGATAATACATTAAAGGTACAAGTGTAATTTATATTAACAATTTTTCTACAATAAAAACTTACCGATCTATTTGTAAACTAATTTTGAATACATCCAATTTGGTCTTGCAAGTGTTTCAATATTGGAAACAATTAGCTACCTGATGAAAGTTAAAATGAACAACATCACTCTTTACAATACGAGAAAAGTTAAAAAAAAACTTATGATTTTACTTTATGTTTTGTATACAACAAAATCAAGAGAAATTTTTAGTACAGTCAACAAAGAGAACTTCCAAGGGGACTTGCATCCCTAAAGAGGCAATTTACTACTTCAAACAAAGAGAACCAACTACACTAAACAAATATTAACCTGATATAAATTGTAGTAATTCAATATAGTAGTTCAAATTATATTTTATTATAACTCGATTAAAATGATGTTACTGGAGATAATAAATATCTAATAGAAGTCTATATAAATTATAGGGATTTTAATATTCTTAATTAAGGATATAAGATAAACGTGTTTATTTTTTCTATAGATTTATCATACGTTAATTTTTATAATGAAATACTATAAAATATTTTAAGACAATTTATAGATTGTTGAAAACTTATCATGGAAGAATGGAGTTCAAACCATATAAATCAAATTTTCACATCAATTGAGTACATAAGAGATAACCTCCTATAACAGATGAACAAATATCATCACTTAAATTAACTTTTAAGGTTTAACAAACTATCGTTTTTAAAATTACTTTTGAATATAAAATTTTTAGGTTTGAAATCGCCTTCAAATAATGTGAATACATGAAAACCTTTTAAATTTATTTTTTAAATTGTGTTAAAATAGTATGGGTAAATATAAAAAATTTGTAAATATTTATCTATATTTCTTTTTGTTGCTTTATTATTTAAAAGTTAAATTTACTTTTTCTGTAAAAACTTTTAGTTGACTTAAACAAAAATTAATAATTTTATCAAATGAAAAAAAATATTTAAAATGAGTATTTGCATGGAGTAACTCTATGCAAAAGTAGTCTAATCAACTTTACATTTAAACTTTTAAAGGAGTGATGTGGTCAAGGGAATGTGGGGTCCACGTATATCAAGGAGGACACAATTTGCATTTAAGAAATGCAAACAATACAATATTTTTTTTAGAAACGACATATACGCCCTTGGTTGACCATCTTTCCTTTTCTATATAATAGAAATATGGCGAGAACAAGCAGACTACTAGGAATCCTATGTTAAGCCCCGTAAAATTTTAGAATATTTTACACTTTAAGGTGCGCTAATAACAATTAGAAATAACATTTTGCCCGCCAAATGTGGCTACTGCCACGATCTAAAATCCCACCAACAATCGTGATGGCACCTAACCCCATACTAGGTAAGCCAGCATGTAACATAGATCAAACCAAACATAACAAGGTATATAGTAACCAAAATAATATAAATAGAAAAAATAAGTCTTTCAAACAATAGAAAGCATAAGATACTACAACATCAAATCTCACAAAACCTAGTAGTACAGAGTTATGACCTCTAAAACAAGATACAACAGAATCTCTCAATAATACAATATTGTTCGAATGTAATTAACAATGTGAAAATAGGGGAAATGGAGTCCAAGGGTCTGCGAGCGATCATGCAGCACTACCTCAAGTCTTCTTTGACAGCTACCAGGCTCCCTCCTGACGTCTGCTACTACCAATGCTCATATATGCACAAAGATATACAAAAGTATAGTATGAGTACGGGACAATGTGTACTCAGTATGTATCAAGACTAACCTCAGTGAAGTTGTGACGAGGTTCAAGTCATGTGATACATATTAATCAAACAAACAGTTACCTAGTCAACTCCGGGGACCTACTAGAAGACTGATCAGCACTCGCTATCGCATCCCGAGACTCCTGGATCTGCACACAAGGTGCAGGGAGTAATGTGAGTACGCCAACTCAGTAAGTAATAAAAGTACGTGTAAGTGTAAGTAGTAAACGAAATGTAAGTTACGTTCGTCGTACTAGTACGCTAACTACGACGAAACC